AGAAGGGGGGGGGAAAAAAACCCCTCCCTCCTCCTCCTGCTGAACAACCTCTCAATCAAAACAAAGCCGAAGCAGCAGCCAAGAGCTGGGAGGCTCTTTTGTTTAATGCTCAGCATCCCCGGCTGGGCCAGCGCGGCCCGGAGCGCTGGGAGCGGCTGCAGGGGGCCGTGGTGGGCACTGTGCTGGGTGCAGGGCTGCTGAGGAAGGGGCCAGCTCAGCCACCAGCCCGGAGCCCAGCTCGGCCACGCCACAGCGGCTGCTGCTGGGGTAAAATCAGCGCTGCTCCTCCGTGCACGGCCATTTTGCTGAGCTCGGCTGCTCACCGAGAGCTGCCATTCCCTCCCAGCACCAGTGTCCTCACAAAGCAAAACAAACTAAACCTCAACTCAGCTCCAGCCATCCCCGGGGACTGACCCAGCCACTGGTCACCATGCTCATGGGTACACCAGCACAAGCTCTTTTCTCTCCCTGCTGCAAGTATTTTAAGCTCCCACTGTTGCCCCTCCAAATATTTTTGCCCAGGCACTGAACACAGCCAAAGGCAAATCTCGAGGTGCTCAGCCCATCCCAGAGACCCTGGAAAGTCTCCAGCAGGGTTTCCACCAGTGGGCTTCATCAAGATCAGCCCCATCCCTGGAGAAGTTATCGCCTGTGCCCCAACACTCTGATGGCATCAGGTTTGAGAAGAGCACGTAACAAGCCAGGACACAGCCAAGATCCACACCAAGAGAAAGCATATTTGGGATATTCAGCTCCAGAGGCTTCGCCCCAGGAAGGAACAACCAGAGCCATGGGGTCAGAGTGGCAAAACATCCCATGGAGCCCAAGGGCCACGTCCACAGGCTCCATCACTGTTGTGTCAGACATGGGTGACACATGTCTGTGAAGGGTGAACCTGCCTGTGGACAGAGCCACGGAGCACCAGCTGACATGGAAAAGTGTCTGGCAAAATCCAAAGCAAAGCTCCTTCCTACACCCAATAAGGAATCAATGGCTGCCAAATCCTACAGCAAGATATTGGAAGAACACAAAAGCAGAAGTAGAGGCAAGTCGGGTGAGCTGGCTGGGGCAAGAGCTGGCTGGGGCATGGAAGCACCTCATCAAGGAAAAATACCCCCTGCTAAAGAGCTCGTTATTCCAGCCACGGAGGTACAACAGAGCCTCCTGGCTGGCGGCTGCAGCACACATCTCTTTTGTCTGACCTCCAGGGAGGTCACCCACCCCAGGCTTCAGCAGTGGCGGGACAGTCTCCCCTTTCTTCATCCACAGATGGAGACCAGCTTCCCTGCCTGAAACGGAAGCAGGAGCAATACAGGGTTAAGCAAAGGACAAGCTGACGGAGACCAAAGGTTGGGCTGAGTCACGCTGTGGCTGTTCCTGTTTCAGTCTGAGCAAGCTTCTCGCTTCCCAGGCAGGGTTTGTCCCCAGGCCAGAAAGAACCTGCCACCTTAATCCTCTCGATGCACTGCCTGCAGGAGCTGCCCTTCCTCCCACAGCCAGCACACACCTCTGCTCTTGGCTTGTCCTTTGGACCCCACATGCAGTTTCTGGAACATCTCTGCAGTTCACAAGCCCAACACCACATTCCCCGCTGCATCCCATTGGTCCTCCACCCCGCCCCAGGCATCCACCCAGCCTCAGTCTCTTCCTCAAGACACAAAACTGCTTTCCCACCCCTTACCATGCAGACACCTTTCTTCTCGCCCACGGCTTTCCCGACCCAAAGGAAGCCATCCAGCTGCCCCCAGGAGGCTGATGAAACACAGACAATGCTTCCTCCTAAGTGACACGTGTTCCTGCAGATCCAGACATCAAATCCCTTCTCAAAACAGGGATCAGCCCTCCAGCCTCAGCTTTCACCAAGGGGGTTATGCTTGAATCTGGACAAGTAAAATGGCAGAACCATCCTCACCAGGTGTCAGCATGGAGAAGATAGAATCATCTGGGTTAGAAACGACCTTAACACCCATCTTTTTCTACCTCCTCCCATGGATAGGGACACCTGCCACTACACTTGGTTGTTTCAAGCCCTGTCCAACCTGGCCTGGAACACTTCCAGGAATGGGGCAGCCACAGCTCAGGAGGAACCCATGCCAGGGCCTCACCACCCTCACAGGAAAGTGTTTCTTCCCAATATCCCATCTAACCCTGTCTTCTGCAAGTGGGAAGCCATTCCCCCATATCCTGGCACTCCTTGTCCCAAGTCCCTCTCCAGGTCTCCTTGAGCCCCCTTAGGCCCTGGAAGGAGCTCTGAGCTCTCCCTGCTGCCCACACAGGGGATGAGCCCAGGACACTGAGGGTTTTCCAGGTGCCAGCACACACGACCAAAGTGTGTGGAGTTTCTCGTCCACCAACACCATACATCACATTGGTATCTCCAACTGCAAAGAGTTTCTGCAGCTGTACCAGTGAAAGAAATAGATCTTTAATAGTAACAACAGAGCAAAGCCATGCAGGGTACAACCCAAGGTCCAGCCAGCTCCAGTGCTGGCTGACACAGTAGTCAGCACAGATGGCTACACGGAACATAACAGCCAAGCATGTTGAGGTATTTCCCAAACCAATTCCCAAGCTTCCGTCCTCCTCATACTTTTCCCAAGCCAAAATGCATTGCCCTGTACATCCCCCAATGAGTTTCTCCTCCACAAACCCACCCAGGTGCCCCAAATCATACATGGACTTCCAGCAGCCACAGCTTTTAGCAGCAGCATTCCAGTCCATCATGCAAAAGAGCATCTGCTGCTCTTCCTGGTTTCATTCACTTTGGTTGCACAGCCAGAACAGACAAAGGAAGAAGATGTCTCCACACCCCTCCTGAATTTTACAGGCTTCAATCACTTGCCCCAGGAATCTTCCTCTCAAGTGGCAGAAACACCAACCTATTTAGCAGCCCTTGTCCCAGAGCCATCCCGTGGCTGACCATCCCCTCCCCAACAAATCTCTGGTCTCAGCACCTCTTCACAGTGCCACTGTGCCCTCCCCACCCATCCCAGTGCCCACATTGTGATCCCCACACCAAAGCAGAAATCCTCCCAGGGAACCTCGGGCTGCAAACATGGTGACATTGCTTCTCATACTCCCCAGCCACTCTCCTGACACCCTGTTGATGGCAATAGGGCCAAGCCAACCTGAACACATGCACTTGTGATGCATGTGTGACACACACGGCTTCACAGGCACACACACTGGCAACACCCCCTGTGCAGCTGGCATGGAGGAAAGCATAGACATCCACATGCTCAAAGTCTTCCCCATACGAACCAGAAATCACATCAGCCACTGTGACTGCTCAGAAACCAGAGAAGAGTCCTGAAAAATGGCCACATCCAGACACAGCCATGCAGCCACCCAGAGCCCAGCACCACCCAGATGGACAGGCAGCCACTCACCCTGTTGGCCATCTGCCATTGGCACAGCTTTTCATGCCCCTGGTGACCTGGAAGAGCAGCTTGGCCAGCTCAGTATCACTGCCACATGTTAGCAGAGGAGTGACACATCAAACATCACCCACAGCCACTCACCAGCCCTGGATCACCACCACAGGTGGGACAGAGCCCATGTACCATTGGCAGACCCAGGAGCGAGGCAGTGACTCCTGTCAGCCCTGCTCCTTGTGCTCACCCGCATGCCCACATAGATCCCACATCCACTAACATGGCTCCTTCTCTGCACTAAGGGATCCTTCTCTGCACATGATGCAACTGCAGAGAAATAAATTCCTTCGGGAGCTGCAGGGAGCCTTGACACACAAGGTGAAGCCAGCAGGACACAGAGCACAGCACAGACTCTTTGTGTCCCCTTGGGAGATGTAGCAAAGCACCAGGACATCACCTTGATTTCAGAATGATAGAGGCCAGGGAAGCCTGGAGCCATTCAGCACAACCAAAGTGCGGAGGAAAACCAAATCTCGGAGGGTAGAGCAGGATGGTACCCAGAGCACAGTGTCTGCAGGTGATCTGCTCACACATGGTTCCCAGAAGCCAGGCTTGACCAGTGTCACTCCACTGGCATGTCCAGACACCAGCACATCACATGGTCAAACCACCAACGCCAAAACCAGGAGGCACCAGCCACACATCAGTGTACAAAGCAGCAGTACAAAACACAGTCCCACCCCCTTGTCACCCACAATGCCATGTCACAGCAATACCACGTGAGCAGCAGCAATGGCATCCATGCCCCAACACCTTTCTTACCTTCTCTGACTTCACCTTTTTCAGCTGCCGGCACTCACTTTCTCCATCCTCCAGCTCTGACTTTACTCCCAAGGGATTGAGCGCAGCTCCCGTGTCAATAGCTATACTCCCAAGCTGCTCAGCAGCAGCAGGCTCTGTCCCCTGGCCCCCGTCATACTGTCCCACCCTCACTGCCAGGGCCAGGGGCTGCAGCACGCTGGGCTCCTTCTCTGCCGCAGCCCCTGCACCCTCACTCCTTTCCTTCTTGCTTTTGGATGAGCCACCCTCCTTCTCCTTCTTGGAGCCAGCCACACTGCGAGACGCCTTGGCCGACTTCTCTGAGCTCTTCGGGGTGACGGCAGGCACCAAACCACCCGAGTTTGCACCATCCCCAGAGCGTCCTTGAACCTCCTTCTTGCCACCAGCTCCCTCGCTGCCAGTGAACAGGGAGGATCCTGGGGTTGGCTTCCCACTGTCCTTGCCAGTCTTGCTCCTTTTCGACTTTGATTTGCCCTCCTTGCCTTGCGGGCCTGGCACTGGGCTCACAAACTTGATGTTATCTGGTAGTGTTGCCACTGCGTTGGGTGCCGGGAGCCCCACCTCCTTGGAGCCCGACATTTCCAATTTCTGCTGATCCTTCTCCAAATCAGCGTCCAGGTCAATGATGAGATTCCCTACACCAATGTCCCATTCATCCCCACTGTCATACGTCTCAACCGGGTTCGCATCAATTCCTTTCCCTCCGGAAGCTCCGCTGCTCAAGGACATCTTAGAGTTAACGGCCCCTCACGGTTCAAGGCTCTTCCCTGCCTCTACGCCCTGGGGGTCACCTACGTCCTTGGGGGGCTTCCAGTGGTCGGGGTCTGCCCAGGTGACGGCATCGCTGCTGGAAGGGAGACCAAAGAGAACAGGGTTACACATGAAGAGCCATGGGCAGGCAGATCACTGACGGCCACACCTGCAGGCAGGAGAGATCTGGGCAGAGTGAAGCCCCCAACCTCCCAAATCCCCCTCACAGCATCTTTCTGCCACCCCCTGGGCTGGGGCTGCTCCACAGCCACCCCCGCAGCAGCGGCCATCTGGCACCGGTCCTCGATCAATAGCAGCCGTGGCAGGTCACGGCTCTCAGCTCCAACAAGACATTACTCACACATTTCCCCGCTCACCATTTCCCTCTGAATTATCGAGCGCTGCCCCTGGGAGGGAGGATTGATTCCTCTCCTGCCAATGCCACCCAGAGGGAGGGCTCCTCTCCAAGCCAGCCTTGCTGCGAGGGACAAGAGCTGCTCACCAGGGAAGTCAAGTGCCTTGGTGGGAAATAAATCCCAGGCTTCAGAGTGCCTGTGACACTTGGGATGTGTCAGAGCAGTCACCAAAGGCAGTGGGAAAATCGCAGTGGGAAGCATAAGGTTTCCCATCCCACACCTCCAGGCAGAGCAACACGGTACCCAGATTTGGAGTGTTTACCACCACTGCCTCTGGCCACGATAAGCTTCCAATGGGAAAGAAATGGAGATGCAATTGTGTAAGTACCCAGTCTTAACTGGGAAGAGGGGGCTCAGCCCTACCTGCCCGCACTGCAGCTGACCCCGGTGAGCCCAAAATATCTCCTCCTCACTTCCCAGCCTCTCCCCCAGGGAGGGAAACAAAAAAGACACCCACGCGCAACCTGACACAGCACCCGAGTAATGGCAATTACCCTGACGAGACATAATTAACACATGTAACAGCTTCTTCCCAGCACCGCCCAGCAAGGCCACCTGCTCTCCAGAATCCTTAAGAAATCCTTGACCACTGTCCTCTCCTTCCCTGCCAAGCTACAGGCCTCCCTGCTCCTGGTACTATTAACAAGTGACACTTCAAAAACAGGTGACTTAGAGAGAAATGAGAAGTAAAAAAAAAAAAAAATCAACCAAAAAAAACCCGCCACACCACACACACACAAATTTCTTCAAACCCCAGCAGGCAGGAGCCTGGAAAGCAGCTTCACGGTGCGTTTCCAGAGATGCAAACACTGTAAAAATGCCAGGGATTCTTTCATCAGCCAGGCTGCTGCAGCCAGACCATTTTCCATCTGCTCCCCACAGCATCCTCGGCTCTGTACAGCTAATAATCCTCTCTCTGACAGGTCATTACGGAGATTTTTAACCCCAGGAGCTGGGGGGCTTGCGTGCAAGCTGGAAATGAAAAGCACTGACCTCTCATTTCAGCAGCATGGAAAGTGCCGAATCAGGAGATCATTTTGTGCACAGGAGTCGCTAACGGCTTCCCAAAGCTGACCTGCGTGTTTCTATGGCTGCCTCCTCCTCCTCTTCCTGCTCCTGCCCCAGCACCTGCTCCCCAGTTCCAAGCTGGTATGTCCAACCCCATCAATCTGCCTCTCCAGAGCCTCCCTCCCAACCACTGATGGGGCCAACGGCTGGCAGCAACCACCTCACCCCTGCAAGACACTCTTCATGTCACGGATCCACCGTGATTCCTTTGTGTGGGTGGGCAAAGCCAGTAACGAGCTGGATGAACCAGATTTCTGGCTGATACCAGTCCCTCCCCAGCCCTAAGCTGAGGCATGGAATCCAGGAACAATCCAAATGAATTGGTGGACCACTAATGACCACTGATGCACAGGATCAACCCACAGGAGCTGACAGCAGAGGATGAAGTTCAGTCTCCAAATCCAAGAGTTGCCAACCCAAAGTTGGAGAAGACAAAGAGCCACGGCAAGCTCAGGTCAGAGGGAAAAGCAGACAAGGATCTGACCTTGCAGTGACAGGAAAACGACAGTCTGCAGGGTTGTACTACAACATGTATAGCATCACCTGTTCCATGCAACACCTGAACAACGCCAGCTTGGCCATATCTCCACAGAATTCACCTTGCTGCTCTAAACGTGCACTTACACACGCACACACATCTCCAGAAGTATTATTTATACATGTGGAATAAGGAGACCAGATGAGCAGGACTTGGATCTGAAATTCTGCAAACAGCAGCAGCTTTTGCCAATTCCTACCACAACAAAAGGAAGAAGGAGCCCAGAAGACCGCTCGGTCCCCAGCAATTAGAGAGCCAGGAACAATCAAAGGGTTAGGAAACAAGAGGAGCAAAAACCCTCACCCTACGGAGGAGGTGCCAAGGGAGCCCAGGCTCTGCTAATGCAGACAGAAGGGAACCACAAACAGGACGGACAGGAACATACTGGATTGGCAAGAGCAGGGGAAAGGCACGTTGTGACGAGAGTGAGGCAGAGGAACTCAAGACATGCCACCACAGGAAGAGGGACTGGGGCAGGGATCAGCCCTTTCCAGAGCAGAGCTGAAGGCTGGGACCCTGGAATATGATCTGGAGGAATCTCCTGAATATGCTCCATTGCATGTGGCTCTAAACCATTTTCCACAGCTTTTTCCTTCCACAAAACTCCCATCCCAGTTCCCCATTTCTCTACTCCACTATTGCAGGCTCAGCCTCTGCAGTCAGGAGCATTTCTGAGAGTCCTTCTCCCAAGCCAGACCCACAGGGACCCCAAAATAACACACCATCATTATTCTGGGTGTAGAGTAGCTCCTGGCTACCACACCCCATGGCCCAAAGAGGTGACTATCCTACTGCTTCCTTTGCCCAAGCTGGAGAAGCACCGGGTGGTATCCAGATCCTTCCCACTCCCCTGCCGGGGGAGTAACGCTGCCACAAATCACAGCATCTCAGAAAACAGAGCGAGGAGATTGATTCAGCTGGAAACGTGTCCTTCCCCTTACCTCCTGCCATCGCAGGATTGATCCCCGCACAACATGAAAAGCATGTGCTCACTTGTTGGCCTGGAGACCTGCCAACAAAGCGTTTTAAGAGCAGTCCTGGAGCGCAGATTCTACAAGGAGACAGCTTTCTGCTTGGGAATGCTGCACACACACAGCACCAGACATGAATAATTCAGCTCCATTAGGTGCTGAGACCTCTATAATCCACATCTATGGGCTGGGACAGAGCCAAACCGTATTCAGAGACAAACCTGAAAGTTCACTTTCAGGGCTGCACACACACCTAGAGACAGCTCTTCCACCACAACAGCTCCACTTCCAAAAGGCAGCAGGGAAACTGTGCCAGCCCCTGCCTCTATGTGCTAAAACCGGTGCAGGATGCTCAGAACCCGCCAAACCCGCGCCACTCCAGCTTTCTCTGCTGGTTACCAGAGGCCAGGAGACCAAAGCTGGGAAGGATTGACCGCCCAAGGGCAGCAAGATGTAGGAGAAAGCTCTTCTCCTGGCAGCAGCCAGCCCACACATAGGGAGACTGTCTCATAGCCATGTGCTCCAGCCTGCAGCACTCCAGGATAAGCCTCTGGTGGCTTCCAGACATGACTGACTGCAATTTTCACCCTGATTAACTTTCAGGAATGCCCACAAGAAGGAGCAGCAAAGAGGACAAGGAAGGGAGGGGGGGAGAAAATCTGCAGGATGCAGCATTTCCTCCAGCGGGCACAAGGCAGGGAGCAGAAGGTTTGGTGAGATGGTTGCTCTGGCCAGGAGCGACCCTGGAGAGCAGAGCCCTCCACTCCCTGCCGAAAGAGCCAAAGGCAGAGGCATGGAAGGGATGCTGTCCCCCCAGCTTGACAAACCCCCAAAGGGCTCCCCACAAGGCTGCAGCTGAGGCAGCAGCACTAGGGTCTGCAGTGCCAAGGCCCTTCCCTCCAACCACTGGCAGCCAGCCGGCTGCTCTCCCCATCCACTGCCTCTGCATGAGATCCCTTTTTGTTTCCTTTTACGACTAAAGAAACTCGGGGCGGTGGGGGGTGACACGCTGCCTTCCCCACGCTGCTGCGCTCACTCCCCAGCCAGCTCCTACCGCCGTGCCTGTAATCCCCCAGCTGGGCTTGTTTGGGTTAGATTTTTGTTAAGTAACTCCCATGTCTTTGCTGCAGATTTCTTTTTAAGATGTTCCCTTTCTCCCCGCCCCCTCTCTCTAGAGCTGGGGGAGAGAGAAAAAAAAAGAAGAGAGAGAAAAAAAGAGAAATGTTGAACGCGAGCCAGCTGGCACAAACAAGAGGAGACGGAGAAATCTGCACAAAGGAGCTTCCTCACTCACTTGCTGCTTTCAGCTCAAGAAATCACGCAGGGGAGGAGGGTTCACTCTCCCCCAGACATCAGTCAAGCTGTAGCAGACAAAGGAGATTTGCCATGACACCCTCCAGAACTGCCACCCAACGGGGGCAGGATCCCTCCACCGCCTGCGCCCCGCGGGAGTCCGAGCTGTTGCAAAACACACCAAGGCACAGAGCTTCAAAACAGGCTGTTCAATGTGGAATTAAGCAAGATTTTGAATGAAGGAGCTGTGCTCCCGCCTCTGCACTCACACAAGGCGCCCAGAGAACTTCAGTGGCTCTCAGGGCTGAGCAGGACAGCGTCAGCAAGCTGCCAGGAGGGAGAAGGCTGAACCCAATTAGAATAAAATGGAGCCACCCTTCTTTTTTTTAATATGGAGGTGCACCCCATCATGACTACATCTTCCAGCATGCACTGCAGCTAGAACACTGAGAGAGACACCAACAAACTTGGGCCAGGACTCCCAAGTTTCTGAAGGCTGAGCCTTGACCCTGGAGATGAACCTGAGACTGGGCAGCACTCAAGCGATGAGTCATTTGCTGGCATTCTTGAGAAAAGCTTGAAATACTTCAGTCCAGGCATGACAAAAGCAGGACATACAAGGTCACTGGTAGAGGCTGGAGATGGAGGAAAGTGGAGAGGTGAGCAGAGACCACTTTGGTGCAGGGCAGGCAATCACCCTACCTGAAGCAAAGCTCCAGAGACTTGTCAGCCACAACACCCACCTGCTCCCAAATACACACTCAGACCTCAACTCCACATTTATCATCAGGCAAAAGATGCTCCTGGGATC